GGCAACGAGTCCGACAGAGACACTCCCAAGGATATCGAGGGTGCGAGCGTAAGGTAGATATTGTTGTCCGTTGGCCGCGTTGTCGTCGGCGGGTCGCGGGCGAGGGGTTGACGAATAGGGAAGGGTGGGGCGAGGTAAGCCGAGTCGGGTAGGTAGGTAGGGGACGTTGTGCTTGTGTGTGGATGAGTGACTCCTAACCGTGGCGAGAAGGACGGACGGTGAGAGAGAGAGGAGAGGTAGCTAGTGAAAACCCGAGCACGAGTGGGGTGGGGTAGGGTAGGGTAGGGTGGGGGAGGGGTATGGCGTGGGTTCGGATTGTTCGGTCGCTTGACGAGCGGGAAGGGCGATGGGTAGCGAGCAGTGGGGGAGGGGGGGGGGAGAAGCGAGCAGCGACACGCGGACTCACTCGAAGCACTTGACTGTAACTCAACTTGTACGTGGCTACGCGACGAGGGCAGATATGGATGCGCGCCGCCTCGTTCTTCTTTGCTCTTATCCCGGTTGCGCACTCTTCCGTTACATTGGCGAGCTAGAAAATGTGGAAAATAAGTCACATTAAGCTATTGAAGCGACGACCTTTTTCTGCTTTAGCCGCTTAATTACGCGCGAATGGATTTTTTCCTAGCGGCCGCGCAACATTGGCCTAGTATCGGTGAGCTAAGCTCTTCCCCAACTTTTAGTAGCCGTATTTGCAGTTTATGTATAAGTGCTAATATTTCATTAAGTAATATTGGTGATTATGTTATTTGCATTAATAATCGATGGGAGACTGATTTTGAAGTAATCGACAGAGTAGTATGACGTAGAAGCAGATGATTATTTATACAGTTTAATTATTGAACACTTGCTAGGCTTGTTTCTCCATTTTGTCAAACTGTGTAAATATTTTCTTTCTAGAATATCCTTTCGTTTTAAAGCGCGTCATCGATGTAATTGAAATAAAATGTGTGAATTGCACGAGACAAGTGATTTTTTTTCTTCTTTTATTATCGAGTACGCATTTGTCTATACGCCAGAGTATTTTCAATTCATATCGCATCTTCATACTGTAAATGCTTAATTTTGTGGGTTAGGCAATACTGGAACGTGCAAACAAATAATACAAGCTTTTAAATTTACAATAAAAAATTTCTTTTATTTCTTTACAATATTATAATAGTACGGAACAAATATTGTAATTAAGTAATTTGAGCCGTAATATTGTCTTTGTATTTTTTAACGATGTCCTGTATAATAATAATAATAATAATAATAATACGTTAAACTAAATTACAATTATATTTTCATGTTTAATTAATTTATTGCAAGAGTTTTTACATTTCGATGCACCTAAATTATATGCTAAATTACAAAATTTTTTTTTTTTTTTTATATATCTTATTTTACGCTATTTCATACTTTTTCAACCTCAAGCTATTCGTTCAAATGGTATTATTAATTCGATTGGGACTTGATATTGAAGTTATGCGCGTAATATTTTATTTCTTTAAATGCACTTTAAAGTTGTTGGTGATTAATAACAAAATTAAAAAAATGTACAAAAAACGATGCATTTTCTAATGTGTATGGATGAAACAAAACATTCTAAATTACTTATCATAGAATTTTATATACAATATACAAATTAATTATACATAATAATACTTAATTTTAGACTGTTTATCAAACATTTTTAATAATACGTGACCGTAAGTTGTCTATAATTTAAAATTAGATTTAAATTTTCATATTAGTTTAAAAAGCATTAGGATTTCGCGTGTCAAGTTTCCAGTTAAAAAATTCCGAGTATTTCAATGATTAATGTCTTACAATTTGAGACACAACGGTAATTTTAACATTTAAATTAAAGTTTGTTACTTTTAATGTTTATTTAATAAATATTGTATTAATAATCGGAACAGTTTATTAGATTGTGAACGAATATACAATTCGTGGATGAATTTCATTCGTAGGAGGCTAACGAATCACAAAACAATTTTAGGTATTAATTGAATTTTAGATAATTAAATGTACGAAGATTTGGGTGAAATAATCATATAAATAATGATAAGATCAAGGATATTTCAAAATTGTACGCCTTTGAGTTTGCATATAGAATGTATCTTCTCTAAAATTTAAAACAATAATTTCTTATGCAATGATTTGTTAGGAAAGAAATATTCGTTAAATGAATACTTTTAGAATTGCTATAGACGAAGAGGTCGATTTTAATCTTCTTTTTTTCCTTTTTTTCATAATATTTTTCATTTTTATACATAAATAATATTTCTTTCTTTAATACACGAGTGTCTACAATTCCAGTATTCATTCTGAATCGTATAATTTGTTGGAGCTAATTTTTATAGCAATTAAACTAATTACGTATTGCCACACGCCACATTTTAAAATTAAATTATTAGTGGTAACCGTTTGTTCAATTAATTTTTTTTATTTTATTTTTTTTTTTTTCATTAATAGTACAATTATTAGACTAGAAGAAGGATTATGGTTTTTTTATACATATAGTTTAGATGATATCGAGAGTCATCAAGCAAACGAAATTATTAATTGATACTTACATATGCGATCTCCGTTAAAATTCATGATAATATACCGGCATTATTTCCGAGAATTAGGATTAAGATATTACTATTTTTATATCCTTGTGCAAGATATCAATAACATGTAATAATGACATTGAGAAGAGATTGAGAAAAGTTCTGTTATTTACCAAATTTTCTGCACCAATAGCATATTGATTTAAAGATTCATTGCATACATTTATTAGTATGCCACAATCTATTAATATATCCTACTTACGTGTACAATCACATTGTTAATTCACAAATTTTCTCATTCGGTATTAGATTTTTGAAGATTCAAAATTGTCACAAAAATTTTCAAATCATTATCGAAAAAATGTATAACCACCACTGCACTAACAATATTTGCTTATAAATAAATTAATATTCTATTCTTGAAGGATCGTGAAATTTTTAAAATATGAGCTCGAATTACTCCTTTGAATGATATACATTTTAGAAGTGATTTGCTAATTAAGATGTACATTAGAGTTATAATTTATTTTGGCTCACAGATATGTACTTAACTAAATAGATTTATCGTTGAGTAGTGTTCGTATTGTTTCTAGTAAGGGAAGAGGTAAAGATTTTCGATTCAAAAAATGTGGTGACATTTATTATGGCCAATAATAACGCAGAGATACTAATTACCGTCAAAATAAATTGCTCGCGCATATTGAATAATAAGCCGTTGATGGAGATTTTAAAATATTCAACCATTATATTCTATGATGTAGCTTCCACGCTTTTAAAAATCCAATTTTAATAGTTTACGAGGAATTTCTGTCGATTCGATTGGTCCGATCAGCAAAACAAAAAATTCCTTCCTTCGAAAAAAATATTTTAAGTGTCGGTAATTTTTATAGAATCCCTTGGACGAGCACTTGCATCATTTTGAAAATAAATAGAGAAATCGAACTAAAAGTTGAGTGAAACTTTTTTTACGTGATAAAAAAAAGAGAAAAAAAGAAAAACGCAGGCACGCACGCACATAGCACAAGTGCACGCCAACAATACGTCGAAGAATATTTGTAAATTAGTTTTCCACGGGAACATTACCTCAATTGGTTACGTAACATTTAAGATAAGAAGCCTTTTATTTCAAAGCAATTCAACGTACGAGAAATCGAGCTTGAGGAAAGGTGGTGGTGGGCCCAACGCGTGTTTACGAAACGTCGCGGTGAAACTCTCTATGGTCGAGATTCTTTATTTGTCATTGGAGGAGTCTAAGGCAATGGAGGTTTCGGGCTGCGTCCAGATGTAGCCGGTGCGCGTGATGCTGCAGTGCGCGTCGTAGTAGCGCCCGGGTGCACGGCAGTAGGACCACCTTGGACATCGGCATCGAAATTTGCTGTGGAACTCCTCCTTGCAAACCTCGTTCCACCAGCAGGTTCTCTGTGGGCAGTCAAGGCAATCGTGGGTTATTGGTTATGAAAACAGATTTGTCATAGATAGATCGTGCAAGGATGGGTATATGGTGTGAGGGTAGAGTTTTAGGTCTTGGGTATTGGAGATTAGTGCCACTGGTATAAATAATGCCTCGATAATCGATAATACGTTTCTTAAAAAATTATCGTAAATTGAAAAATGCCTTTTCTTTTTCTTTCTTTTTTTCTTTTATAGTATCATCTGTTCGAGCTCATTATGCGCAATGTGCACTCATTAAATGGATTAATGAGTTCGCATTGAGAATGAATGCAGATATTCACTATAAAGACTAATAAATCACGAATTTATTTCTTTTAAATTAAAAATCTATTAAGTGAATTAAAAACTTTTTAATGAGTATGTATCGAGTCTATTTTAATAGTGGCTGACCTTTCAAGTTAAGATAATAAAATAACACAATCGTTTGTCGTTGTTTTCGAATGACAAAATCTTTTTTCGAGCACAATGGTTTCAATTTTTCATTTTTCCGGGTCGGATATAGGATGTTTTCGTCGAGTGAACAGAGTTTGTTTTTAAAGAAATTCTGAACTTTTATAGAGGAATTATACTAAAAGAGCCGTCACTGATATATTACGTACTCAACTATACGACCGTGGAATATGCTCTAAAAATATGGAAAATCGTGATATCGGGAGCATCTATTGCAACAATCTTTTAATACGAAAATATATATTTAAAGCTTTACCTCAGCTAAGTAGCCTCTAACACTTTGATCGCTGTAATTTCTTTTAGTAATAACATGTCGTGTCGCAGAGTCTGCTATTCCATTAGAATAAACTAGAAGCAATGGTAGATAAAGTCCTAGTTTCACCTATAAGTAAAATGATTTATGTGTAAATTAAACGATTTTATTGCCACGTTTCATTTTTTTCTTCTTAAAAATTTCACTTTCCGCAATAAGCTAAAATAAATGATAAATCAAAATTAAAATCTTTAAGTTTTTGCACTTAAATTAATTAAAGCACTTACGAATGTTCATACTCATGGCAAGAATTTTGTAAATAAACCTCATAATTTTATGAAACAATATTGAAAGTGATTTCGCTTAATCATTAAATTTTTTAATCAACATTCACGTTTTTGCAAGTACATTCGAGCATATTTTCAAAATCGTATAACTGCCAATAACAGATAATATTTTGGAGCTTTTCCCCCTCAATGTAAGTACGATTTACGTTTAATAAAATTGTTATGCTTTATAATTGCTTTGTAATAATACAAATGAAATACTACTGTGCAAGGTAACGTATATTTCCATGTGAAGTTGAGAAAACAAAAAAAATTAACGGCTTCAGAAAATATAGTAAAGAATTTAAGCGATCGTTAATCAAATTTATATTGCCAAGTTAACGAAATATTTAGAAAAAGACACAATTAATTGAAAATAATGACAAATATTAACGGTCGCTGTGCTCGAGGTGAGATTTTTATCTGAAACGGTGAGAACGAAAGTCCCCAATGACCATGAAACCATTTTCAAGGGATATAAAATCGAATACAATAGGGCGAAGGTCATGCATTACGGGGATTTTCAACAAAGCTGCAGTATCATTTGTAATCAGGCACACCGAGCATTAATAGTACGAGGGGACTTTGTATTTCTCTCGTAGAGTATATTTTCCGCAGGGATATGGTTGAAATGATACGCGGTAGACCTGGCAATGCAGGTAGTGAAAATGTATTGCATGTAGCGTTGACGCGGATAGTCGAGCCTCAAGGACATTAACCCATGGTCAAGGAAAGCGAAGGGACACTTACGTTCAGCCGCATATTCGCGGACTAGAGGTTGCTTCCTCGGATCCGGGGCACGACGACGGCCTCGAAGACAACGACAGCACTCCCGCGTCGGCCACTGTTTGCGATATCGAGTGCAACGAGCTCGGGCATGCGCTCGAAGTCATTTGGATTCTTCATTGACGTCGCACCACCTTCGTCGTTTCCTTTTGCCCTCGATTCTGCACTGCCACGTGAGCTGCCGGTTCTTCTTCTCCTTGTTCTTGTACTTTTTTTTCCATTTTCTTGCAAGAAAATTATAGATTGCTTTGTTAGGGAGGTTTCGCCCGAAGTAAATAAAAGCAATGATAGAGTAGACGTTTTAAACGACTGTTTAGATCTCTTTAAATATTTATACATTTAAAATTACTAGTTAGTATAATAAGTATTAGGGCAGATATTACAATAAATATAATTTAAATATTATACTAAATGCGTAAAAGTTGTATTATTTAATATTTTGAATTTGAAAAAATAAAACAAAAACAAAACAAAAACAACAAAAAGAAGAAAAAAAATCAATTTAGTAAATGCTGGATGAGAAATAGGCTTGGGAAATGGAAGAGTTACGATACTACATTATCAAATTATTAACATTAACATCTATTGGAAAATTATTTTGGTAAAGTTTTTATGAATAAGAACAACTAGGAAAATAAAAAATATTAATAATAAAATTTAGCTTATATTTTTTTAAATTACAATTCAAAGATCGTAAAGTATGTTTAAATACTATTTTAAATTCCTGATTATTTTGTACGAATTTATTTTTAGTTTTAATGTGACTGTTTTATACATAATTTTGTTAAGTATCTTGTTTTTTACATAATAAAACAAAATTAAACAGTTCCTTTTGAATTATATACAATATGGTCATATTTATAGGTAAAGTAACAAAATATAAATATTTAAGTGATTATTCGACTCCAAAAAATATGATTAATAGGACTTTATATTTTTAAATTTACCACTATAAGAGAATACGCATGCGTATTGGTTTCAAACTCGAATTATTATTTACAGTCTGAATGTAAATAGGTTAGTTACCTTTGGTTTCGATCAGTTTTGTCCAATTGTCTTAATTTTTTAAAATTAAAATAGCAAATAATCAAAATGGCATCAAGGTCTTTAATAGTTCGATATCTGAATCATCTTAGCAATAACAATAAGCAATGGTAATTGTAAATATCTTATACAATGCTTAAAATCACCATTTATTTATGTATAACTTCCACCTTTATATAATTACTACATTTAAAGAATTATATTATTTATTTGTTTGGTGATTTTTGTCAATTTTAATTTCATTAGTTATAAATTATTCAAAATTATTCAATTTTTTTAGTTGCAATAGCAAAAATTTTTCGATCCTTTCTGCACTGTGCAATAACAATGTCAAAGATACGAATTTATTAAAGGATGAAGATTGCACAACCATAGTTAAGGAAAGCACAGTGCCTAAAGAGATTTATAAAAAAGAAAGAGAATCGCAGGGCTACATCACATTAGTAGGTGAAGTGAATGCAGTTGAATTAACTAGCGGTGTTTTAGCAAAATACAAGCAAGTTAGAAATGTTCTTATATCTCAACCATCGAAGAATGCAATGCAGTCAGGAACGTACAATCTTAACCATTGGCAAGTGAGCTTCGATGCTAGAGAGCGCTGGGAAAATCCATTGATGGGATGGTGTGCATCGTAAGTACATCAGTGTATTATAAAGTATCTAATAAATTGGAATTAAATTATCTCTGCTATGTTTGGTAATGATTATTAAAATTAAAATTTTCTCAATTTATTTGTGCAGTGGGGATCCTTATCAAGCGCTAATCATCAAGTTTACAACAAAAGAAGCAGCCATCCAACACTGCATAAATATGGGATGGAATTATATGGTGCAGAAGCCAAATAAGGTTAACCCAAAGCCTCGTTCTTATGCTGAAAATTTCTCATGGAATAAGCGTACAAGAGTATCTACAAAATAAATAATATATGAATTAAGAAATTAGGTTGTTGAGTATACTCTGTAGATAGCATTAAAATATGTGTCTAATAAATTACGAATATTTAATAATTTTCTGAATTGTATTGAAAATAATATTAATTGTATTTATAATATGAAAATTGTAATATATATATAATATTGTATATAATATATAATATTATATATATATATATATATATATATATATATATAAGGGAGTATGAAGTTATGAAATGAATAAAATGAAATGCTTATAATCGATAAGCTTTGTTTATTTATTATTTTGGTTAGTATTTAATATTTTCGGACATAAAATTTTATACTATAGCTTTTTTAATCTTTTGTTTTTTATATAAAATATGAATTATTTTGATTAATAGAAAATATATGATAAAATAATTTACTTGTATAGTACTATTGGTTCCATAGCATGAAAATTAAAGATCGATATATTTGAATATTTTTTTAATTATTCTAGTGCATTGAGAGTAAGTTATGTTTCTAATTTTTGCAGTTATCTATTGGGTCGGTGTAGACAACAAAATAATAATAATCATAATCATAAGTGTGTATAAATCGAACTGCTAATGTCGCACTGTCGAATGAGTAATAATAATAATAATTTCCTAGCTCAAAACGATAGAAGTAATAATGATATAATTGATAAAAATTATTTTGCAATTAATAATTAATTCTTTTGTATTTGTCAATGCATATGTTAGTATCAGATGTAACACTGTTCAGTGATCTTTGCAACTTTGCGATATTTTTGTGTGTGCATTTGAAAAGATAACCTTTTTTTGTTCAAAATTGTGTAATTTTATTTCCATCGAATTTATTATTTACGTTAAATTGTTATATGATTGATATGAAGGAAAAAATCATAGATAAAATATGAGAGCGAGTTAGTTAAGTGAGTGCGCGCGTGTGCGTGTGTGTGTGTATGCGATGCCGCGAGGAGGGGGGGGGGACTGCTGAGTAAAGTATTAATTATGTATTAGATTTTTTTATTTTGGAAAACAGAAAAATCATACAGTTTTAAATTATAATCGATTATATCATCACAATATACATAATTTTATTATTGTTATTATATACTTTATATATTTTGTTCAATTTATTTATATCGTAAACAGTGTAAATTATATATTTATATACAATGGAATTCAACTATGGTTTTTTGTGAGCTAAAATATGTCGGTAACCAATTTTATTTTCGATTATTATGTTCCATTAAAATTAATACAGTAATGAAGGGTAAAATTTTAAAATTCAAATATTTAAAACAATTATTACATTCTTGTTTGTTTACATTCTTCTTTATATATATATATATATATATATATTTTTATTAATACATGTTCTTTTCGTTTCTTTGATGTATGACGAATGTTTTCATCTTTATGATAAACTTGACGAAAACGAATGCTCGTCTGCGTGCTTCCTTATTTATTAGATGAGAAGAGGAAGGGTGTGCTTCTTACATTATCTACAGATTGTACTTAAACTTTGATTGCTAAAGATGAAATACACCGTAACAAGATTGTAGCAATTAAGCAATCGAGTATCCAGAGATGTATAGTGAATAATTATAAATCTTAACGTATGTACGCTCGGATAGTTTAAGTAAATGTCGATTGGACCGTCGGGTATTTCTTGAGCTTAATCAACGTTCAATAAACATCCAAGGTTAGTAAACGTTGGCGGAGAATTCGTTCAAACATCTCGAAAGAACTTTATTCTGTGGAACTTTTAATTCTCAACCTTTTAACGCATAATTTTAATTTTAATTCAACCCTGTGACCTTCTCGTTGAAATGAGAGTAACAACAATAAATTAATGCTCGTGAATGAAAGAATTAAAGACGACAACGTACGTGATTAATAACGCATAATTTTCAACTCCAACGACAAATAACCGCGTAATTGGAAATTAAGGTACCAGAGTAAGTCCTAATTGTATCAAAGGTACATCATTGGCACGCATACGGCATCGAACTCATCGATTGGCCAGGGAAGAGCTCGAGTAAGCGTGTCCTCGCCTACTTTATATCGCGCCATCTTGACTAATGACTTTCTTCAAAGCTCTGTCCACGTTCCCTTTCTCGTTACATCGTCCTGCAAGTCGACGCTTACTCAAGTGTGTGTGTGTGTGTGTGTGTGTGTATGTCTCTCTCTCTCTCTCTCTCTCTCTCTATGCGTGTTTTGTGTGTTTTATGTTTTTTGTTAATTTCTCTCATTGCACTTGTATAGGTTTTATATGTCGGCATCAACTCTATATTTGAAAACATTAATCAAGGTCGCTTGCCCCTAAAATTACGTCTTATTATAGGCCTTTGATTGTATTTATTTATTTATTTTATGTTATTATTTTATTTTTTATTTTTTTTCTTGTCCTTTCTCACGTGCACGGGGTGATGTAAAAAGTATCGCGCAATTTCGTACATTTGTTTTAAAATTTTTAATCATAAGTATCATTCCTTTTTCCTGTTGTTAATCATATGGCGCTAAACAATTGTCAATCGTTATTTTAATTATATGCAAAAATCTAAGCAAGAAATAATTAATTATTGAATTATTCAACCTGTCGCATTTTACAAATGGTGGTATCTAGAAAAAGCTTGTTCTCGTATTTTCCTCTTTATTTTTATAATTGAATTATAGAAAATTTACTACGTATATTAAATATTTCATATTTCGTATATTCTCAATTCTGTGTTCTTATGGGGTTGTAAAACAAAGACAGAAGTACGGCACAGCAGGTGAACCGGCTGGTCTATACATTGTTTTTTTTTGTTTTTGTTTTTTGTTTTTTGTTTAGAATTTTTAGAATTTTCGGCAATGATTTATTCCGTTATCTTTTCTAATGTTTCGCTTAAAAACGAATTGTTTATTATTTTCACGTAGTGGTTAAAATATTGTCAATGACCACTGCCCCTTTTAACGAGCAATCGAAATATATGCAGTGCTTTAGAGGTGATTATATTAAAACGAAGAAATTTCTTTTCACAATTACTCTTTTTCACTGAGTTTTCTGCATTCGTTTGATGCATCAATGCACTTGCAATTCATAAATCATTATAGAAATTCGAATACGACGTTATAATCATTTACAAAAAGATAACGAAGTTATGAACAATTCGTTGCGATCGATATAGTCTTTAACTATAATTTATTAGAGCGCCGTTAGTTAATAACGCCGTTGATTATAAATAATATTGTAATTTGAAAGTTTAGCACACATTGTATACATGAATTAACAGTGACGCTCACTTTTTTTTGCTCTGAATAAATTAAGCGTTCTATCGTTATTAAAAAAAAAAAAAAAAAAAAAAAAAAAAAAAAAAAAAAATGTGCAACCACTATAAAATAGTCATAAAAAGAGAAGAAGTTGGTACAAAATTATATTTTATCGATCGAACTGTTGTATTTGAATTTTAATACGAGATATAAATATATTTATGTTTTTCAAGCACGAATCACATTATTTAGCGTATTATTGAGAATATTATTAAATTTTAAACTTTATATACGAAAGATATTTTCTTATTGTTTAATACTGTATATGAGGATTCAATTTATTATTTAATAGAGCATTCAAAGATTTTATTGCATAGTGCGTTTTTTTTCTACCGAGGGTTTCAAGCATATTCTTTTAACTTTCATATATTTATTATGATTTATGTATTTCATGCTCATAGAAAGATTTATATAGTTTAACAGTATAATACAGTCTATTATGACTTGGATGACCCCATTGAAAAGTAAAGCAACCATTAAATTTATAAATTGTACTTGTCAAGTATACTAATTGCCTAGTTTTCTAATTGATAAAAAATAGATTGAAAAAAGAATGGTCAGTTTATTGATTATGTTGTGACTTTTGTCGGCATGGCTTTGAAAAATCAATTACAAAGTATAATCCACCGTTATGGCGGTATCGCTAAACACATGCCTAAGGCCATATGCAATAGTGAAATGATAAACGACGTTAGCGCATCAATGAATATATATGCGAGAAATACAATTGCTCATTCATGCGGTAAAGCGAGGAGATAAACATTACACAACGACACTTACGAATTCGTTCGTTTTCATTGTCGTTTATTGTTTCACATCTTATAACACACACACACACACACACACACACACACACACACACACACATATATATATATATATATATATATGCAATACACCCTCGACTTGTGATTTTATTGTGACATACGACGCTTATTCTTTTTTTTAATTTTTTTTTATTTACTATACCGTTTCTAGATTTATTACTTTATTTATGATTGTACGGTTTCTGCCTTTGTTTATCTCTCCCTCCGTTTATTTATTAATACTTGTAACAGGACCTTCGACTAAAACTACACAATTTTACGTTTGATTGCCCTTAAGTCATCAAAGCGCTTAAAACTGTTCGTAAATGTTTTTTTCTTGTTTTTCTTTTTTGTTTTTATAACGATACATTCGCCATTTGTATTGCCTACAGTTTGTCTAAAAACTTGTTTCTTCTCTAAATATACGCGCCTGGACGAGCGTGCTTATATAGGTAGCAAATAGATTGTTTATTCTTTGTTCTTTGAGGAGAAGTAGCAATAATGATAATGTCTAGTAAAAATTTATTTAAAATTGTACGATTATTTAAAATTTCAATATCATAATAATATTATATTAAAATTTAGCTACTTAACGAATGCCAATCATATGATGAAAATATTGGGTAATTAAAGTTTTTATTGCTAAAGGTGAATTTTTTGCCTGCTATAATATTGATTTTAATTCTTTGAATAATTTTAGACATTCAAATTCTAAAGTCATATTTGAAAAGATATTTGAATGTTGTTTATGTCATCGTACAGCTTCCATTTGTCCATTCATCCTCATCCCTCCCGGTTTAACCATTCGCATCATCACACGATTATGCTTGACAAATTTGTCATTACGTTATTCAATAATTGACTTATTTAATTCAGTTTATGTATGATTTACGGTTTCTTATATAATCTATTTACATAATATAAATGTAATTTGCTTATTTAACGCGCGTCCTGTAACTTTAACTAAGGCGACATTTCGGAAGGGGCCTCGCCGGCACTTTTTGTATCATTATTTTTTGCTTTTATTTTTTGCATTGTTCTGTACGTATAATTTTTTGGCGCCAGAAGATTGTCGCGCAAAGCCAATATCTATATATACATATATAATGAAATCTTGGGAGGGTCTTATGGTCGAGGATACGCTCTATAGTATAATTTGTTTAACACCTCTTAGTCATTATTATACATTAATTCTTTTCGGTGTTTTTATACCTAATTGTGCCTAATTTAACTGATTTATAATTTTTTTCTATTCTCATTTTATTACTCATTTGTAAAACGATAATACATATCGTAGAGCATTTATAATTGTAATTTAAATATTAATCATAATAATAACAATACATTATCATTATGCAATATAATTAAAACAGCATTAACAAAAATAAAGATCGTTTATAATAATCATATTAATAACAACAACAACAAGAGCAGCAGCAGTAGTAGCAGCAGCAGCAGTAGCAGCAACAACAATAACAATAAAATCATTAGCAATAATTATTATTAATGAAAATTAATAGTCAATTGAAAAATATCGATGATTTCAATCGAGAAGATAAAATCTACAGATATGCGGAGCTTAAAGAGTATTTGTTTCTCTAAGAGCTTTCGTGTCATTATGTCGCATATCTGTTTTATTTTATTTTCCCTCTAAATAAAGTTTACTTTTCTTTCTTCTATTTAATGCAGACTATCAGAATTATTATTTAATTATACATATGTAAAAACATTATTTGGTACTCAAGGATAGAATTTCATTAGTTATAATAATTTTTTTCATTTTGAAACTAATCGTACAATTTTCTTAGTGTAAATGTCAATTGCTATTTGTAGTATTAATAATTCTTACAATTTTTGTTTGTTTGTTTGTTTTTGTTGTTTTTAATAAATGCACAGAAGTCTTAGAAATAGAGCTACGTTTTATTATGTAATCGGCATTAATATTTATAGTTCTTTTTTTATTTTTTTTATGTGTAACTATTACTTCAGTTTTGCTTCATTAAAATATAAAATTTCAATGATGAATCTAGGTAGAAAATATTCAGAGATAAACCGTTATTGAGTATGCCTAAGTGGATTACGTATTTTTAAATGCTTGAAAATTTAATATGAAATAAAATCACGATGAGCTACGTAAATGTAATTATAAAATATAGCTTCATTATGACTTTCTTGTATTATAATAATTATTTAGCCATTTAATGATGGCCCATGAAAAATTATACGATTTTTTAACAATTATTTTCTAAAAGCTGTAGACATTTGTTGTTTTGTGCATAAAAAAAAATTAGTTAAAAACTATAATTATTATAAGCGTTGCTTTCGTTCTTAAATTCATTTTGGCTAAGCGATTGTTATTTCATAAATATTATTTTAATAGTTTTGTACAATTTTTGCGATACATAAGTTCGAGACAATAGAAAAACTCTGTTACGAGTAAATAGAAGAGATGAAGTCGTAGCGATATTTTTTTAAAAAACATTCTAAAATAGTTTGGTGATCTTACAAGTATAAATTAATTTTTAATAATTTAATACACGGTTGGAAATAATCGTCGATGCAACTTGTAATATTTTAAGATGGTAAAACCAGGCAGCATGAGTGAATAGAAATTTCGAGAAAGATCAATAGTTATATATACACGTAAATAACAACTATGCAACATCCTTAGAAGTTTGGAAGTTAATGGTGGTGGAAAAATTAATGATTTCCCATATTAATGTTTAGACTATTATATTATATTCTTAATTCTAATATTTTTTCCAACCGTGTGCACAACGCTATATATTTAATTTCGTATTTACTACATTTACATGGATATTAAGAAGCTGTTAACTCATTTAATATCAATAAGTCGAATGGTACGATTATATCGTATAATAATTTTTATCCTTTTCTTCTTCTTTTTTTTTGTTTTTTGTTTTTTCATTTTCTTTTCTTTATCGAACAACTAAGAACGTTGAGTACGTAAAATATAATAAACTCTAAACTTCATCCATGATTATTTAATTATATACTTTGTACGACCGATGAAAATTTTGTCCTTTCAGGAAATTTAGAGATTGAACGCTAATACGTGAAATGGAAATAAATTTTTTTAGATACATTGATATTTAACGAATATTTGTTTCTGTTTGCGAGAGAATTTTGCAGTGTGGGACGGGCACAGCGTATTGTCTCAATATAAATGCGTACTCGTCTCCACGAGGGACTTCTGTGAAATATTCATTACGCATAAATCATTATATACATTACACATGCATACACATGTAATGTGTATAACGCATCTATACCACAACCGAATATATATATATATATATATATATATATATATATATATATATATATATATATATATACGAATATGAAATAAAAATAAGTTGAGCGAGCGCAGGCTCATTGACTGCCGAGTCACCTTCTTCGTGCACTTATTCGAACTACTTCGATTACTTGGCCTCGCGACAAGTCGATGATTTAATAATATTGCCGTGTGTACCGTTATACGGTATTATAATGCCCTCAGCACCAATTATAACCGTTATCTCATTGTCCCCTATTTAATAGAGGCAGTAGTATTTCACGAAGCCCGTAATCGAGGTAGAGCCAATAAGTCGTCGCGATTTGTCTCGGTATACTCCGGTAAGTCATAATTGAATAGCCCGTCGGCGAAGAGTTTAATGCGTACGAAGCGATTGGCGTGCTAATATCATTAATAACGAGCTCGTGGATAATGCACAGATCGTAGGAAGAGTGTGGTGGGGCTGGGTCGCGCAGCCGACCGTCAATTAGGAAACGGAGAAGAAGCCGATGGCTGTGCTATTGTCATCGACGTAGCGAAGGCCGGAAAACTTCGGCAGGAACGATCGGTCTCTTACGTGGGAGGATGAGCAGCATCGCGTCGAGGCCCGGGGCTACATCAGCTGTCCCCCTCCTCGTCGAGAGCCTCGCGACTCTCTCTGTATTCCTCACTCTCGCGATGCACGAGCACATGGACAACCGTCGCCTCGGATTGCTGGCGTAGCAGGGGGGGTCGAGCCCCGGTTGGCGCCGCGCTTTCCGGGCTAGCCTCCGTCACGAGGATGCTGACGTCGCGGCCGTCGGCCAGCTGTTGGGCCTGCGGTAGCGTTGGGACCTGGGATGCGGGCCGACGGCGAAGGCTGCTGCAGCGACGACTGAATGCCTCCTTGATGTCACGCTGCAGCATGTTGAGTGAGAGGGCGGTACCACTCGGGCGTAGCGAGTGTCGTTTATGCTGCTGAGGCGGTGAGCGCGCCTCCTCGTCCGTCTCAACGGCGTCCTGGCGGCCCAGCGTCGGCCCGAATGACCTTGAGGTCGGGAAGGCGCAGGGCGCCAATTTATTAGACTGCTCGGCGCTTTGCCATTATTTCATGCAGAGGTATCATGCAAATCGAGGGTCGTGGGAAAATTAGTCGCCGCCTGGA